TGGTGTGAGCCTGTCCTGGTGTGTGCCTGTGGTGGTGTAAGCCTGTCCTGGTGTGTGCCTGCACTGGTGTGCTACAGCTGCCATATCAAAAGACCACAGACCAAGTGGTTAAGAAAACAGACATCTTTTTCTCACAGTTCTGGAGGCTGGAAGTCCAAGAGCAAGGTGTTGGCAGGTTTGGTTCTCCCAAGGCCCCCTTCTCTGCTTACACAAGGCCATCCTCTTGCTGCTCTCACAGGGCCTTTCCTCTGTGCGTTTCCCTGGCGTCTTTTCCCTTCTTCTAAGGACCTCAGCCAGGTAGGATTAGAGCCCCTCCTCTCACTGTCATTTTAATAATCGCCTCTTTGGAGGCCCTAATACAGTCAGGTGGCTTAGTTCTCCCCCACCCCTACTGCCCCTAAAGGCCTTCGTTTAAACTTAATTACCTCTTTAAAGTTCCTAACTCCAAATATGGTGACATTTGTACATATGAATTTTGGGGGACACAGTAATATGTGTATAGCCCCTAACTGTGGCACACGCTTTGCAACACCTTCCTTTCCTTTGAGCACATTGCCTGATAAGCTGATAGTGTGGACCCACCACAAAGCAATACCACCTGCAAAACACATGTGCTACAGCCAGCTGGCAGCTGGGAGAGCAAAGCTCGCCTGTCCACCATGTGGAAGTCCCCAAACATCAAATACAAAAGGCATAATAAACATCACCGTCAGCTGGAGCAGGTCAGTGACCAAGCTCCACAGTAGGCACTGGGGGAACCCACGGCTGGCCCGTCACCACACCTGGGCATCTGTAAGAGACCAAACGGCATTTACAACGAGGAGGGCCTGGGTCTCAGCAGGGTTTGGATGCAAGCAACAAGACACACTTGGTCCCCTGACATCCACTTCCAGCACAGCCCCTGGGGATAAGGAGGACATGGGTCTGGAGGGAGCGGGGACAGAACTCCAGAGATGAAGAGGCTGGACAGGTGCGTGGCACTGGTTAAAGGGGAAACAGAAGCCCATCTGAGGAACTGAGACTTGACAAGGAGGGTGTGAGCCCAGGAGTCCACTGTTCTTTCATCCGAGACTAAATACAAGCACCTTGCCTTGCAGTCTACCTTGATCCCCTAAAAAGCAGACATGTGAAGTTTGCCTGGCAGAAACTACTCCACACACTCGGGATACAAATAGGACCCCACATCTTACTCTTCTAAACAGTTTCCTGGGCCGCACAGGCCTATGAGCGGAAATCCAGCAGGTCTGGCTTGGAGCACCTCCCCGCAAATATCATCCAAGAACGCGGGGAAGGAGCAAAGTTTGGCAACTGCAGGCCTGTCTCCCCTGCCTGCTTGGTCCCCGCTCCTCGGCCCTCCCCTGCCATCTCTTTCTCTTTGTAAGCCCCTTTGCCCCTTCAAGTCTAACTCAGTTTCCCCTTTCTCCATCCCTCCTCCCATTGGCTTTAGATCTCCTTTTAAAAAAACACCTTTTAAATTGGTGTTTGACATTTTCTAAACATGATTCTGTAATATAAACTCTGAAAAACGTTCTAGCTGCATGAGTGTCACAGCTATCATGCCAAATTACCCCAAAATGCACTAAATACGTGCTGATTGTTCAAGCAGAAAGACTCATTTAAATGATTTAAAATAAATCATTGTAGCACACTATTTTCCCAGTGACCCTCGAATATGTATTTTCTCCATATAGTACACATGCTGTGACAGAAACCCCAGACACCACCCAGAAACTAGGGAGCCAAGAACATCACTGCCAAACGCACTACCACTGGTACCTGGGTGCCTTTCAAAACTGAATTTCGTTCTATCTTTAATACTATTGAAAATGAAAATAATCTTTGAGTATATACTATTTGTGGACGACATACAAAGTATGTGGAGCTGTGGAGAGCAGGAAAACATAGAGAAAGCACTTTGATGGATACAGAAAGCTCTCTGGCGATGGATGTGGGGGAAATCCATCCCTGCGATCGGTAGACATGTTTAAACAAAAGAAGGCCAAGTGAAACCATTTCTTCATCCAGGTCAATGTTCGTCACTCCAGGAGTTTTGGGGATCAATCTCCAATCTCCTGTTTGCCACACTTTCTCCTTTGAGCTGCTGTTTTGGGATCTGTTTTTCGCAGCATACAAATATTTACTCACAATCAGCAAATGAAATGCCATTACAATTTTGAAACAAAAGTGAAAACAACAGTTCCCGGAATGTTGTAAGCTGTACCTTAAAAGAAATCAGTGAGGTACAAATCATTTCAATCACTCGTTGGCTCCAAATTGGCATTTTTGAAAATCTGGTTGGAGGTATCAACCCAACTTCTTCTAGAGACCATCAGTACGATTAACTTCTATTAAAAGTAATTGACTGAAGTTAAAACGCACATAAAAAAATGAACCCCTTTAGAATGAACTGCTCGGTGTGCTTCAGCCCGTTCAGTGCCGCGGCCCCGTTGTGTTTAACTTCTTCCTGGTACACGCCTGCCCTCCGTGCCCCCACCCTCCCCCCTGCCCTAAACGAGCTCCTGAGAAGAGCGCAGGAGCCGCCACATTCCTGTCCTTTCTCTGCTCAACTCCCCTGTCTTCTCCCTGGGACGCTCATCCTCCTCCACCCCCGCCCACAAAAGTTCTCCCTTTTCTGCCCTCGTCTGTCTGCCTCGTCGTCCCCTCTCTTCCTCGTTCCTTGAGCTCCCTCGACGGTACTCAGGACTCGGCAGCTCTGCACACCTCAGTGCCCCGGGGCCCTCGGAGCTCCTCCCCTTTCCCACCGCGAACCCTCTTTCTTGCCGTTTATTTCCATCCCCATCCCCTGACCCCCACATCTGGGGTCCCCGCCAGTCCCCATCACCCCGGCCGCCCTGTCTCCCCCTCCTTCCCCGTCTCCTTCCCTGCACATTCCCAGCCCCCACCTGGCTCCCGCTCAGGTCTCCACGGCTCCCAGGGGGCCCTCCGCGCCCTCCACTCCCGCCCCTGTCCAGCCCACCGCACCCATCTCCCAGAACCCTTGGGAGGCCTCGCCCGCCCCAGTCCCCGCTGTGTCCACTCCCCACCCAAGTCCCTTGGTGCCCCCTTCCCCGGCCTCTCCCACGTCCCCTGCTTGTCCTTCCACTCGCCCAGCCCTGCCTAGGCCTCCCAGCGCCCCCTGCAGGGCCTTCCTCCTCCCCTGATCCATTCCTTTCCCCCAAGTCTCCCAGCGCCCCCTGCAGATTCCTCCGCTCCTTATCCATTCCCTCGCCACTCCGCACCCCCGCCCACATCTCCCAGCGCCCCCTGCAGGACCCCTCCCCTCCTTATCCCTTCCTCCCCCCCACCCCCGCCCACATCTCCCAGCGCCCCCTGCAGGCCCCCCTCCCCTCCTTATCCCTTCCTCCCCCCCACCCCCACCCAGATCTCCCAGCGCCCCCTGCAGGCCCCCCTCCCCTCCTTATCCCTTCCTCCCCCCCACCCCCACCCAGATCTCCCAGCGCCCCCTGCAGGCCCCCCTCCCCTCCTTATCCCTTCCTCCCCCCCAACCCAGATCTCCCAGCGTCCCCTGCAGGCCCCCCTCCCCTCCTTATCCATTCCTCCCCCCCCCACCCAGATCTCCCAGCGCCCCCTGCAGGCCCCCCTCCCCTCCTTATCCATTCCTCCCCCCGCCCCACCCAGATCTCCCAGCGCCCCCTGCAGGCCCCCCTCCCCTCCTTATCCATTCCTCCCCCCCACCCCCGCCCACATCTCCCAGCGTCCCCTGCAGGCCCCCCTCCCCTCCTTATCCATTCCTCCCCCCCCCACCCAGATCTCCCAGCGTCCCCTGCAGGCCCCCCTCCCCTCCTTATGCATTCCTCCCCCCCCACCCAGATCTCCCAGCGCCCCCTGCAGGCCCCCCTCCCCTCCTTATGCATTCCTCCCCCCCACCCAGATCTCCCAGCGCCCCCTGCAGGCCCTCCCCTCTTCTTATCCATTCCTCCCCCCACCCCAACCCAGATCTCCCAGCGCCCCCTAAAGGCCCTCCTCCCCTCCTTATCCATTCCTCCCCCCCACCCCCACCCAGATCTCCCAGCGCCCCCTGCAGGCCCCCCTCCCCCCTTACCCACCCCTCCCCCGGGTATCTCAGTGCCTTTTGCGGGCCCTCTTTTCCTCCTTATCCACCACCCCCAACAGGTCTCCCTGGCCCCCTGCAGGCCCTCGTGCCCTCCTTGGCTTACCCCTGAGGTCTCCCAGCGCCCCCTGCAGGGCCCTCCTCCCTTCCTCTCCCACCTCAACCGGGAGATATTTCAGTGCCCCCTCCTTAGGCGCCCACCTACCCATGTCTTCCAGCGACCCCTGCAGACCCTCCTCCCCTCGTTATCCACCCCCTCCAGGTCTCCCAGTGCCCCGTGTGGGACCCTCGCCCGCTCTTCACGCACAACCCCAGGTCCACCAGTGCCCCCTGCGGGGCCCTCCTCCCCCTCCCCGCACAGCGCATCACCCCTCCCCCAACCCCGCCTGGCTCCTCCCCCTCGCGCCCCATCTTTCCGCCCCGCGCCTGCGCACTGCCGCCCTCCACTCGCGCCAGCCTGGCAGCGGGCGGGCTGTGGCCTGCAGCACCCGGGGCACGAGGTGGAGCCCGCAGGCGACCAACGCAGTGGGCAGGGCACGCCGGCCACGCCTCCGGCGGTGAGAGGCCGCCCCGGGCAGGATCCAGCCCTCCGGCCCTCCTCCAAGAGGAAGGGCTGTTCTGGGCGTGGGCGGAGGGGTTGGCGGGAAAGGCCCGAGGGCACGCGGCAGAGGCTGAGGGGCTGCCCGGGAGGGTGGGGAGGGTGGGGCGGGTGGGGCGGGTGTGCGGGGCAGCGTGAAGCAGGGGCACTGCCAGGCCTCCAGAGGGGTGTGCTTGACCTGGCTGAGGCCTGCTTGGCCAAGTCTGGGTGGGGTCGAGGCCACTAGGCCCAAAGCCTGCCTGGCTCCGAGGGCGCTAGGCACAGAAGCGTGCACGAGGAGAATGTCCGCCCGAGCCTCGCCAGGCCCAGGACACGCACCGGCCCCGGGCCTGCTCAGGCGGAACCCTGCCAGGCTCAGGATGTGCCCCAAGCCTGCCGAGGCCCAAACCTGTTCCTCCGAGAGTTTCGTGCAAAATCCTGCGTCAGCCTGACTCCCGCTTAGCCTCCACCCCCTCCTCGACCCAGGCCGGATCAGCATGGTCCTGACGCTGCTAGGTCCAAAGCCTTTTGAGGCCAGACCTTGTTTCCACTCCAAAGCCTGCTAGGCCCCAGCACCCTCTTTTCTCCCCCCGTGAAAACCGCTTGCTGCTTTCTCATACAGGCTCCAAGTCATCATGGCAGCCACTGAGATCTCTGTCCTTTCTGAGCAATTCACCAAAATCAAAGAACTCCAGTTGATGCCGGAAAAAGGCCTGAAGGAGGAGGAGGAAGACAGAGTGTACAGAGAGAAAGACCATCAGAGTCCTAGTGAGTTGGAGGCGGAGTGTACCGCTCGCGCCCTCCAGGACCTGGAGGAAGGGCTGGAGCTGCTGCCCGCTTCCTCCGAGGAGAGTGACAAGCACATCCTGACCCTGCAGACGGCGCCCTTCACTTCTGAAGCTTTCGAGTTGCAGGATTTGAGCTTGCTGAGCATACAGCAGCAAGAAGCGGGGCAGGTGATGGTACAGCAGGCTGGCCCTGGGTTGCTGTGGCTTGAGGAGGGGCCCCAGCATAGCTTGCAGCAGTATTTGGCCATAAGTATCCAGGAAGAGCTGTACTCCCTGCAAGAGATGGAGGTGTTGCAGCTCCCCCTTCTAGAGGATAATGTGATGGCCAGTGAAGAGAGCAAGTTAGCGGCGAGCCTGGCTGAAAGTGCTGGACCGACTAAGGTACAGCTGGTTTTAATAAAAGCAACCCCTTCCATGACAAAAAATTTTCAAGTCAGCTTTTATGCAGTATTATATCTGGACAAGGTATTTTTCAAATTAAAGACAGTAAAAAGACTTCCCAGGAAAATCCTGAGAGATCTTATGTTCTTTTTTTAAAAGATGTTTGAAGTTGTGCTAATTGGAATACTGTAAGATACATTATGTTTTTTAAAAAGTGTTAAGTTTCACTGCTACAACCCTGATACTAAATCATTAACATTGTGATACATAATCTTCAACTTTTGCTTTGCTTTTTGTATTCTGTGGCTTATCCAGGCAAAAATTTAATCATATTGGAATTAATAGTGTATTTGTTTGAATATTTATTGTTGTTTTCTAGCTCCAGGAAAGGCAGGAGAAAGAGCAGTTATTGCCTGAAAGAAGATTGGCTGAAAGAACAAAGGAGCAATTCTTACATTTGGAATCGATGCCAGAAGACAAAGGAAGTGACGAAATCTTTCTGAAAATTTCAAATTTTAACATGGAAGAACAAGAGGATCAACCTATAGCTGTTCCAGCAAATGTTGAACAGGCCAAATCGGCAAAAAATCAAAGTCAGACAAAGGGTAGGCTAGTACATCTCATAGAAGACACTCCATAAAGCTGGGCTGCTGTTTTTCTTTATGGGAAGGTGATGGTGATTGAAGTTTTAAGTAGCTGACTTTTAGTTGCTTTCAGAATGTCAGGAAATGGGAAAAATTTTAAACTAATGTTCTGTATTGTGAATCAAATCCATAAGGGTTTTGCATTTTGCACACAAACGTTTTAAAAGCAGAGTAAAAATGTTCCCGCAAAGCCTTGTGCACGTAAGTATAGAAGGCCAAGCGATGATCTTTGCTGTCTAGTTTGCAGCCCCAGAGGGATATGGGGGACCAGTCATTACAGGACAGGTGGTGAGGCCTTGTGTGCTTCAGGGCCAGGAGAAGGAATGATTCCTCCTTCAGGAAGCTGTGGAGGGTGCCTTCTAAGGGAGGTGATATTTAGGTGAATCCAGGACAAAGAAGCCATTAAGACAGGGATCATGATTCCAGGCACTAGTAAGTGGTCTGGGTGTGTAGCTCTGAAAGTATCTGCTTTGTATGTGAAGGTGGAGAGCTCTACTGTGTCTGTAGGCCTGGGGCCTCAGAGAGGTGGATAGGGCCAGATGAGGGAGACCCTGAAGCAATATTAAAGCCATATTAAACTGAGATTGCATTCCAGCGGCCCACAGGATGAATCTGTCCTATGAAAATGATTTGTTCAGCTTATTTTTTAAAAAATATTAGTTTCTCGCCGGGCGCGGTGGCTCAAGCCTGTAATCCCAGCACTTTGGGAGGCCGAGACGGGTGGATCACAAGGTCAAGAGATCGAGACCATCCTGGTCAACATGGTGAAACCCCGTCTCTACTAAAAATACAAAACATTAGCTGGGCATGGTGGCACGTGCCTGTAATCCCAGCTACTCAGGAGGCTGAGGCAGGAGAATTGCCTGAACCCAGGAGGCGGAGGTTGCGGTGAGCCGAGATCGCGCCACTGCACTCCAGCCTGGGTAACGAGAGCGAAACTCCGTCTCAAAAAAAAAAAAAAAAAATATTAGTTTCTCGCTTTTTAAAATCAACAGATTTCACCCCAAAAATTTCCATTTCTAGGTCTTTTAAAAAATTGTATCTTGCAGCATTTGGCACAGTTTCCTTCCTTCTGGCAACAGGTGCCTGGGATTGGAAAGTGACTCGGTGTAGAAAAGGAGAATGCTGCCCGAACACACTGCCACCACCATCTCCTTCTTACATGTGGTCAGGGCGCTTCACTTAGGTTTCTTGCCTCTGCCTTCCATAGGTGATTGAGTTTGCAGCCTCTTGGTATATAGTAGTTTCTCATGTGTTTAAATCAAGAGCTTTGTACCCCACATTTTACCATTTCTAGCTCATTTTTAGGTTTTTGATGTAGTCACAAATTTGTAGAACCATCACCAACCGCTGTCTAAATTCCAGAATATTTTTATCACCCCAGTAAGAGGCCTGTACCTGTTAGGCAGTTGCTTCCTACTCCCTTCCGCCTCCCCAGCCCCTGGCTACCACTCATCTGTTTTTTGTTTCTATAGATTTTCCTGTTCTATACATTTTCCAGAAGTTGAATCAATGTATATACCATGTGGCCGTTTGTGTCTAAATTCCTTAGCTTAGCATAATGTTTTCAGGGTTCATTGGTATTGTAGCACATGTCAGTGCTTCAGTCATTTTTAATGGCTAAGTAATAATCCCTGTATGGGTACACCACATTTTATTTATCCATTCATTCATAGATATACACTGCAGTTGTGTCTACCTTTCAGCTAGTGTGAGTGGTGCTATTATGATCATCTGTGTACCAGATTTTTGTTTGAGCACCTGTTTGCAATCCTTTTGGGTATATACTTACAAGTGGAATTGTTGGATCATGTGATTACTCTATATTTAACTTCTTGAGGAGCTACCACACTATTTTCCATAGCAGCTGCACCAGTTTGAATTTCCACCAGCAGTGTGTGTAGCTTCCAGTTTCTCCACATCCTCACAACGCTTTCTATTTGTTGTTATTGTTTAATTATAGCCATTCCAGCAGATGTGAAGAGGTATTTCATTGTACTTTTGGTTTCCATTTATCTAATGACTAAGGGTATTGAGTATCTCTTCATGTGCTCATTGGCTTATGTATCTTCTTTGGAAAAAATGGCTCTTCAAATCTTCTGCCCACTTTTAACTGGCACTCTGTTAGCTTCCCAGGGATGCCAGGACAAAGCACCACAAACAGAGTGACTTCAAACAACAGAAACATACCTTTCCCAGTTCTGGAAGCTGCAAGTGTGAAATGGAGGTGTTGGCAAAGCCATGCTCTCTTGGGAGGCTGTCGGGGAGAATATATTTCATGCCTTTCTCTTAGCTTCTGGTATTGCCAGTAGTCATGCCATTCATTGGCTTACAGAAGCATTGCTCCAGTCTCTGCCTCTGTTATCACTTGTAATTATTCCTGTGTGTCTCTGTTTGTGTCTCTTTATATGTTGGGACTGTTATTAGGTGCATATATATATTTGTTTGTTTGGTTGGTTGGTTGGGTTATTTTGAGATGGAGTCTCATTTTGTCTCCAGGCTTGAAGTGCAGTGGCACAGTCTCAGCTCACTGCAACCTCTGTCTCCCAGATGCAAGCAATTCTCCTGCCTCAGCCTCCTGAGTAGCTGAAATTGCAGGCATGTGCCACCACACCCAGCTAATTTTTGTATTTTTAGTAGAGATGGGGTTTCATCATGTTGGCCAGGCTGGTCTCAAACTCCTGACCTCAAATGATCTGCCTGCCTCTGCCTTCCAAGTGCTGGGATTACCAGTATGAGCTACATATGTGCCTGGCCACATACATGTTTATAATTGTAACTTTATGATAGATGGACCCTTTCATTATTATATAATGCCCTTTTGTCTTTTATAACAATTTTGTCTTAAAGTTACTATAGCCTGATACTTGTATAGCCACCCTGGCTCTCTTTGGTTACTATTTGTATGGAATATCTTTCTCGATCTTTTTGCTTTCAGCCTATTTGTCTTTAAATCTAAAGTGAGTCTTTTGTAGAAGATAAATAATGGTGTCTTGTTTAGTGTCCTTTCAGCCAATCCCTACCTTTTCACTGGAGAGTTTAATCTCCTTACTGATAAAAAACTGCGGTGGGGGGTGGGGGTTGTTTATCTCATTATTTCTGTATTTGTTTTTTAAATGTCACATTTTTTATTCCTCAGTTCTTTCATTACTCCTTTCTTTTGTATTGAATAGCCACTTCCCAGGGTATCATTTTAATTCTTTACTATTTATTTTACTGTATATTTTTTAGTTATTTTATTTAGTTGTCCTTGGTGTTACATTGAACCTCTCAATTTATAATAATATGGTTAGGTTAATGCCAATTTAATTTCAATAATATATAAAAAAAACTCCTATACAGTTCCATTCCCCACTCCACTTCCTGTTGGTATTGTCACAGAGTGTATCTTTATAAATTATATACCTCAACATAGATTTATAATTATTGCTTTATGCTTTCTTTGAATCAGATAGGGAAAAAGAGGATCACACATTAAAAATGCATATTGTCTTTTGTATTTGCATGTGTTGTTGCTTCCACCACTGTCTTTATTTTTTCATATGGATTTGAGTTATTGTTTGGTGTCCTTTCATTTCAGCCTGTTGGAGTCTCTTTAGCATGGTTTTTGTAGAATAAATCTGCCAATGACAGGCTTGCTCAGTTTTTATGTTTCTGGGAATGTCTTAATTTTGCCTTTATTTTTGAAAGGAGGTTTTGTCAGACATAGAGTTCTTGTTTAATATATTTTTTTCCTTACAGCACTTTGAATGTCATTCCACTACTTTCTGGCCTCCATGATTTCTGATGACAAATCAGCCGTTAATCTTTTTGATAATCCCATGTATGTGACAAGGCATGTCTTGCTGCTTGAAAGATTCATTCTTTGTCTTTCAGCAATCTGATTATGATGTATCTTTACATGGGTGTTTTTTACTTTATCCTGCTTGAAATTTATTAAGCTTTTCGATGTATAGATTTTTTGTCAAATTTTGGGAGTTTTGGCAATTATTTCTTCAAGTATTCTCTTCTCCTTCACTTTGGACCTCCCACTGTGTGTATGTTGGTGTGCTTGGTCATGTCCCACAGATCTCTTAGGCTCTGCTAATTTTTCTTTGTTGTTCTTGTTTTTTCTTTCTTTCCCTCAAACTGAATAATCTCAATTGACCTGACTTCAGGTTCACTGACTCTTTCTTCTTTTTGCTCAGCTCTGCTGTTGAGTCCCTCTGTTGAACTTTTCATTTCACTTATTGTACTTTTCAATTCCAGAAGTTCTGTTTTTTTAAATAAATTTTATCTATTGGTATTCTCAGTTTGCTGAAGCGTCATGTTCATGTTTTTGTTTTGTTTTGTTTTTTGTTTTTTGTTTTTTGTTTTTTTTTTTTGAGAAAGGGTCTCACTCTGTAACTAAGCTGAAGTGCAGTGGAACAGTCATAGCTCACTGCAGCTTCAAACTCCTGGGCTCAAGCAAGCCTCGTGCCTCAACCTCCTGAGTAGCTGGGACTGTAGGCATACCCCACAACACCTGCCAAATTTTTAAATTTTTGATAGAGACAGGGTCTCACTGTGTTGCCCAGGCTGATGCCAACCCCCTGGACTCAGGCAGTCCTCCCACCTTGGCCTCACAAAGCTTTAGAATTATAGATGTGAGCCACCATGCCTGGCCTGTCTTTTAGTCCTTTAGACTCAGTTTTCTTTAGATCTTTGAACATATTTTTAGATAAAATATGTTTTAGATATATGATTTAGGAGCCGGGCGTGGTGGCTCATGCCTGTAATCTCAACACTTTGGGAGGCCGAGGTGGGCAGATCACAAGATCAGGAGTTCAAGACTAGCCTAACCAATGTGGTGAAACCCCATCTCAACTAAAAATACAAAAATTAGCCTGGCGTGGTGGCAGGCATCTGTAGTCCCAGCTACTCAGGAGGCTGAGGCAGGAGAATTGCTTAAATCTGGGAGGTGGAGGTTGCAGTGAGCTGAGATCACACCGTTGCACTCCAGTCTGGGCGACAGAGAGAAACTCTGTCTCAAAAAAAAAAAAAAAATTAAATTAAATTAAAAAGATGAAGGTGGGAGGATTGTTTGAGCCCAAGAGAGTTCAAGACCAGCTTGCACAACATAGCAAGACCTGGTCTCCAAATATATATATATATATATGATTTAAAGTCTTTTTCTAGTATGTCCAATCCCTGGACTTCCTCAAGGACAGTTTCTATTAAATTTTTTTTCTCTGAATGGGCTATCATATTTTTTGTTTCTTTGCATGCCTTATAATTTCTTACTGAAAACTGGCCATTTGGAACGTTATAATGTGCCAGCTTTGTAAATCAGATTCTTTCCTCCCCAGGGTTAGCTGTTGCTGCTGGCTGTATTCATTGTTTCTTTGGTAATGTTTCTGAACTAACATTGTAAAGTCTGTTTGCTTTGCTTTGTGTGGCTGCTGAAGTCTCTGTTAATAACTAGACAAAGATTTTCTTAGACACCTGAAACCAGAAAAAAAAAAATTTCTTAAATCTCTCAGTCTTTGCTGAAGAGCTCTGTGTGTTTACTAGAGCTGGCCTTCCCAACATTCATCCAGCTCTGTCTTAGCCTTTACTTCCTGCTTCCTGAGGGCCTTGAGGTCAGCCAGTGATGAGAGCTTGGAGCCTTCTCTGCCTTTTCAGCTTGTTCCTGAGCCAGGAGCGTACTCGTGGACTTCTCTATTCCGAGGAATATGTTAGAGCTTGTCTGTGCCCTTCTTCCCCAAAGCATCTCATTCCTCAGCCTTTCCTCCCAGGGTTTTCATTAGTTCATTATTTGCCCTCCCTGATACCTATTGCCTGTGAATGTTTTCAGCAAACATCTCTCCACTCACCTCACTCCAGGTAGCCTCTTTAGCACTGGGCAGTTTCCATGTTAGGCAAGATAAAGGCAAACCTTTTAACATGGTCTTTTCTAGGAAGCCACTAGGCAGGTGAAAGCAAAAATTATGATTTTTTTTGTGAATGAAGTCTATTCTGCTCTCTCTGGTACTGATACTGTGCATTTAGGCTGTTAGTTTCTTTTTAGTATTATTGTATTTTGTGTTTGAGGTCTTGCTATGTCGCCCAGGCTGGTCTCAAACTCCTGGCCTCAAGTGATCCCCCTACCTCATCCCCTCAAAGTGCTAACATTGCAGCTATGAGCCACCACACCTAGGTTGGACTGTTACTTTCAAGGCTACCCCTGAGCTAGGGAGCAGAGAATGGAACCAGCATAAGTTAGAATTCCACCAAGCTCTCTTTTTTTACTGCAAATCAGCTAGATTTTTAAAATTGTTTCCCTTGGTTTCTGGAAGCTTCTGATTAGTTTCCAGCGTCCTGAAAAGGTTGCTCGTGACATTTTTTTGCCAGTTGTTTTCATTGCTTTTATGGAGGGATGGATTTTTGGAATAATACCTCAGCCATCTTCTGTGTTTGATGATTCCAACACCTGAAGTCTTCGTGGGTCCGGGCCTTCTGTTTGTCTTCCACTGCCCTCACGCTGGCATCTTGTTCATCACTGTGAGCTCATAGGTTCTTTTTAGTGTTGTCTGTGGAAATCCCTTGAAGCCTGGGGTGAAAGTGGGTTCTTTGAGGGGATGGTATATATTAACTTCTGCCAGGCAGTGATGGTCAAAAACTGTCTTAAACCAGATCCCCCAAGGGTCACTGTTAGAACCACTCAGGTTGTGCTCACTGGGGCCACCTTCCCTCTTCGGAGCCATCTTCTTGGGGGGGATTTCTTCACCTTTCAGTCAGTGCTATGCCAGCATCATCCAAGAGGGCTGCCTTTGCTGATGGAAATGGTCTTTATCTGCCCTGTTCAGTATGGTAGCCACTATCTCCGTGCAGCCTTTGGGCAGCTGAAATGTACCTTACAACAGAGGAACTAAAAGTTGAATTCTATTTAAATTTAATTAGTTTAAATCCAAATTTAAGAGTCACACACACATGGCTCGTGGCTATGGTTTTGGATGGCACAATTCTAGCTGGTTTTTCTCGCAGTCCCCTGGCTGGAGTGAAGGATGCAGGGATGGGGCAGGTTATCTTCAGTTCACCCTACAGAGAATGCATCCCTTCGGGGCCACATTTTTACAGGAGAATCTCTTCGCAGGTGCCCCACTTCAGGCAGGCATTGTGTCTTTTCTCATGTCTCCTCAGGTCTACAAGACATTCTGAAATGTCCAGGCGTCTTCCCCCTAGCATTTTTTTTTTTTTCTCAGCAGGAAGGATGAGCAGAGTACCTAGGCCACTGTATGCCCAGAAACAGACATCAGCCCATCTCAAAACAGAAGGGGCACTGCTCGTTATCCAGGAACATGGTGTCCTGAATTGCTTCGATCAGCTTATGAATTAATAGCATGTTCTACTGTTCAGTTCCCACGTTAGTTGAAAGAGGATGTGCCTATTTACTTTCAAATATTTAAAGGGAATTTGAACCTCGAAATAAATGAATACATAAACTGTCTATTTCCTGCCGATAGGAGCAAAACGCACCTTCTGCTGTGATGTCTGCGTGTTCACCTCTTCTAGAATGTCAAGTTTTCATCGTCACATGAGAACTCACACCAGTCAGAAGCTTCACTTGTGTCACCTCTGCCTGAAAACCTTCCGCACGGTCACTCTGCTACGGAACCACGTCAATACCCACACAGGTAAAACCTCGGGGCAGGCTGTTTCTCTGGAATCGTGTGTGTTCAGGCTTACGTAAGAATGTCAATCCCCTGTTTCTACAGTAGCATTGTGTAGCGTTTTATACTTGAGTTTAGTCTTTTTCTTTTTTTCTTGAATTTCCATTAAAAATACTGAGTGTTAAAAAGATTTTTCTCACATGTACCTATGGTATTTCTAAAGAGTCTCTTCTTAATTTTTAAAGCGTATTTGAGACTGAATATAATTTAAAAGCTATGAATTCCTTGGGGTTTTTGGTTAAGTCTTGTTTTAAAAGTATGAACTATGTGATTTTTACAGGAACCAGGCCCTATAAGTGTAGCGACTGCAACATGGCATTTGTCACCAGTGGAGAACTTGTCCGACACAGACGCTATAAACACACTCATGAGAAACCCTTTAAATGCTCCATGTGCACGTATGCCAGTGTAGAGGTGAGGCCGTTCTTGGACCTGAAGCTTCATGATGTCTTAGTAGAGGCTGCTATGCAAGTTATGCCAAGTGTAACTAACAGTAGAATCTGTTACAGACAGGCTTTGCTAAAGATACTATTCATATAAAATGTATGCAGGAAGTAATGTGTATTCTCTTTTATGAAGTTAAAATGGAAAATTGGATCTCTTTGTTTCTTTGATTAGTAATTAGTGAACATAATATGTAAAGGTGTACAAATTACAAGTAAATTACTTGTGGTGAAGAAATAAGTCCCAGATTTGTCTAAGAGTTCTGCATTTCATCTGGTACTCGGGGCCACGAAGTCAAAATGTGTTTGCTCTAACGTAGAATGCAGATCCAATCTGAATGTTGGCTGAAATTTTTGAGCTTAGATTTACAGCAGCTTGCTTGAAGATTTAAGCATAGCCACTGCTGTTCTTAATTACAGAGCGACTGCCCTTTCCAAACTTAAGGTGTGTCATGGTGATTTTAATTAATTTTAGTTGATTTGCTTCATTTGTACCTTCTAACAGGTCTGGTGGTACTCACATGAAACGTCATTGACTTATCACAGCCAGTTTTCCACCAGTTAATTTTTGGAGTCCCACTGTGTGTCGGGAAACAGGCTGAGGCCAGTATTGAGCCCGGTCAGGACTGGGTAAACAGTACACTCAGATGGAACTAAGTTAAAGGGAACAGTTAGAGATTAAATATAGTAACAATGCAGCTGGGTTTCACAAATTAGGAAATTTCATGGATTGGGTCAGAATTTGATGCCAAGAACTTTTTTCTGCTGTTACTATTTTTAAAAAATTATTTCTCATCAGAGTTAAAGGTTGTGATTGTAGTATGAGAATGTAGAATGAAGGGTTCAGGGAAGAGAGTCAGCTGGGGATCCTAGGCCTGGAGTGGAGTTTGTGTTGGTGCCCTGCCAGTGCTCGGGGCACATTTCCCAGGTCCGTGAGCCCCTCTCCCAGTGCCAGCGGTCTGCACGCAGCCTGTGGGAGGTGTCCTCAGCACAGGGGTCTCTGCTGCTGCCATAGCCCCCCATGTTTGCAGTCTCCAAGTCTTGGCCGTGCTTGTTTGTTCCCTCATCCCATCCCGTGACACAAGTCCCAGCAGGAACGTATCAGAGCTATGGTACAGATGCACGCGTTTTTTAAAAAAAGCTTTTGAACTGTCCGGGTACAGTGGCTCACACCTGTAATCCCAGCACTAGGTGGGTTGCTTGAGGTCAGGAGTTCGAGACTTGCCTGACCAACATGGTGAAAACCCGTCTCTGCTAAAAATACAAAAAATTAGCCACACATGGTGGCACATGCCTGTAGTCCTACCTACTCAGGAGGCTAAGGCAGGAAAATCGCCTGAACCTGGGAGGCAGAAGTTGCAGTGAGCCAAGATGGTGTACTCCAGTCTGGGTGACAGAGCAAGACACTGTCTAAAAAAAAAAAAAAAAAAAAAAAAAGCTTTTGAACTCAACTTGTCCTCCCATCCCACCTTTAAGAGTCATCCAGAGTTTTTTATAGCGGCCTTCTTCGCTCATTTACACCACTTATCCTCCTCAGACCTTTCATGCTATATACTTTTAAAGATTCTTTTCATTTTGTGAATATGCTTGAAGGCATTCACTTTTCTTCTAAAAATCTAAGCAAAATGTTTTGGCTTGGCTATTGTTTTCCATTGTAAGCCGTTTGTTCTTGAGTGTTCCTCAGGCTTCTGTGCACTCATCACTTACTGGGGAGGTGGGTGGAGTGTGGTGTCCCCGGGTCACTAGCAGGACTGATGTGGCCTCCTAACTTCTGTAGTCTATGTATAGTTGACAGTCCAATTTCCTGCTAGGGGTAGATAGGGCCTGCCATACACAAATACAGAATAAGAATAGTTCTAGAAGGCAATAAACCAGTCAGGCAGTGAATGCTCAAGTGGGAGGTGTTCTTTGCTATTTAACTGATTGCCTGGGATACATAATTATTCAAATTATAATTTAATTTATTCTACTTAAAACTTAATTCTTCTTAGGAACCCACTGTCACATGGTACCGATGCTGAGTAGCCAGGGACACCTTCCTCCACTCACACTGTTACCCTGGGGCCAGCCAGGGTGGAGTCTGCAGGACTTGTGACCTCGAGGTGACACCTACAGATGTTCCTCCATTAAAGAGCTAGGGTTTCATTTTTATTCTATTTTTTTGAGACATGGTCTCACTCTGTTACGCTGGTTGGAGTGCAGTGGCATGATCTCAGCTCACTGCAGCCTCAGCCTCCCTGGCTCAAACAATCCTCCCAACCACAGCCTCCCAGGTAGCTGGGACCACAGGCGTGCACCACCATGCCCAGCTAATTTTTTATTTTTGGTAGAGACAGGGTCTTGCCATGTTGCCCAGGCTGGTCTCAAACTCCTAAGCTCAGGCAATCCACCCACCTCAGCCTCCCAAAGTACTGGGATTACAAGTGTGAGCCACCACACCCGGCAAGAGCTAGAGTTTCAAAATTTTCACTTTATGCAAAAAAATAAAAATGTTTGCTGTTGTGCCTTTACAGCGTAATGTACATTTTGTAACTATTGAGAATGTGTTGTCCTAGAAATGAAAATAAAGTCTGGCATGGCATTCGTCAGGTGGGCTTGAAGTGAAGCTGAGTGCAAAAGCCTCTCAGAAGTGCTGCTCATTTTCCCTAAAGGAGCTTATACACACACACATTAAATGAAATAAAATCGCCCATAACAGATGATTAAAAGTAATGACTTTTTCATGTTTTTTCAGTGAGTGAAATATGCTCTCATGCTCTGATGTTAAAATCTGATTCATTGAAATCTCTTTTTTAATGCTGACTAATGGAAGACACTGCAATTTTTGAGTTTCCATTGCAATGAGCATCTTTTATGTATTTATTAGGCAAGTAAACTGAAGCGCCACGTCCGATCCCACACGGGGGAGCGCCCCTTCCAGTGCTGCCAATGCAGCTACGCCAGCAGAGACACCTACAAACTGAAACGCCACATGAGAACACACTCAGGTAAGGGCTCTGGTGCTGAAGGCCTGATACGTACAGTATTAGCACTTAAAGCAAGCTTTAAAAAATTAGTTTTTATTGGCACAGTTCAAGTTCAAAGGTAAAAGTAGATTTTTGCATGCCTTTGGGATACGAGGATTGTGATCTGTGCCTTTGTGTTTATTTAGCAGTAAGAGAGTCTGCATAGATACTGTTCTGCAACCCCACTGCACAGAATAAAACACGAAGTATTTCCCTCCGTAGATTTTTCAGGTATTTAAAACTCAACTCACGGCCAGTCACAGTGGCTCAAACCTGTAATCCCAGCACTTTGGGAGGCCAAGGCAGGAGGATTACTTGAGTCCAGGAGTTTGAGACAAGCCTGGGCAACATAGGGAGACCCTGTCACTGCAAGTAATTTAAAAATTAGCTGGGCCTGGTGGTGCACACCTGTGATCCCAGCTACTTGGAAAGCCGAAACAGGAGAATCACTTGAACCTGGGAGGTTGAGGCTGCAGTGAGCCGGGATCACTCCACTGCACTCCAGCCTGGGTGACAGAGCGAGAACCCATCTCAAAAAAAAAGAAAAAAAGTAAATAAAAACACAATAAAAGTCAACTCCTTAATTCATTCTTCAACTTTAAGGCAAAACTTAACACAGGAACTTGATGTCTGGTTGTGTAAAGAATACATTTATGGCCACTTCCTGGTTCTTCATACAACCCCATGGATGTGAAGCACCTTGAACTTTTGCATTGCTACCAGATGCAGAGAAGTCGCATCTCTGGTCGGTCCTGGACACAGCTGTACTTGACATAAGCTGTCTGGGCTTGACTGGGGAGTCTCATACTAACTGGGGGTTGTCCTGTGAGAAGGGGCAGCTTGGGGCAAAAGAAACGCTTCAGCACAGGTGTCCTTTGGCAAGGATCAGGCCTGGAGGGGGAATCACTTTGTTGTCTACATCTCAGGTGAGAAGCCTTACGAATGCCACGTCTGCCACGCCCGCTTCACCCAGAGTGGGACCATGAAATTACATACTCAGCAGAAACACAACGAAAACGTCCCCAAACACCAGTGCCCCCATTGTGCCACCATCATTGCACGGAAAAGTGACCTGCGTGAGTGTCTGTTCTAGTGCTCTTTCTTTTACTACAGTATTTGCTGGCTCTTTGGAGCGAGGCCCTGTAAACCTGCAAAGTACTGGCCCTGACGCTGGGATGCTCGGTCTTTGGGAACTTCACCCTGGGACAAATTTTCTTACAGAGGTCCTGTTGCACCATCTGGTGGCCGGACCTCATAAGTGCATTTTATAGCATGTTTTTAGAATCCGGGCCCAGGCCTGTTCCCTATGCACGTGCGAAGACCTTTCACAGATGGGTATTATTTCATTCCACATTCAGCCTGTTTTTCAGATTAGGACCTGAGGCTCAGAGACATAGAGAAACCTGCCTGGGAGTCACATGACCAAGGATGCTAGGAGGTGGCTGGATTCTGGGTTCCTATATATCAGTGCTCTCTCCATTGACACCCAGCCACCTTTTCTTAAACCCTGGCTATGGGCCTAAAAAGTTTTGGGAACAGAATTTACAAAAGACACAGTTTTCCCCTTAGGACAGTCACTTGGAGAAAGGAGACGAGTCTGTAATGGGTAATCTGCATCTAACGTGGTGAGCCTTTTAACTGTGAGACCCCACAGAGCGGGAGTGGGAGTCCAGAGGGACTTGGAGCACCAGGCCTAGGAGAGCTGAGATTTGGTGCTGCCTGCCGGGAATCCAGCCAGACTTGAGCAATGGAAGGGAAGGGGTGGGTGAGCGGGAGTGAATGAGCCTCTTCTTGGTTTCAGGATTCTTGGGCCTCCCTTTTTCCATGATGTTATTTCTCTTTCCAAAATATATGGCACTGTGATACGCAAAATATGTTAGCAAAACGAAATATTTACTCTTTTGGCCAAAGAAATTCTGGAGATAAGATGAACTTTTTGGAAACTTTTCTGAAAGGCTAAGGGTGTTTCGCAAAGTCTTAACTTTTATTTTTCATCCAGACCATTTTGTTATTGTTGCCATAGATATTAGCACATCACAAAACACAGCCCAGTGGGGCATAAGTCTCCCCAGTTGTTGGACTTTTTTGACCCCATGACAAAATAACCCAGTTTATGTCTATGTCATGCCAGTGGGTGATACACTTTGAATAGCCTGTAAGATGCTTTATAAACACATTAGTTCTTCTTTCCCATGACTATATGAGAATTCAAGCTCTCTAAATGTGTGAGTCACTGTGGGCAAGGTGGAATACCTCTATTATGCAGCTGTCAATTGTCATTTGGTTTCTTACACAAATATCACAAAGCCATCATTCTTTAGACTTAAATGAGCAAAACTTAATCTAGAGCATACCCAGCCAGAACTTACTGGGTCTATCAGGTTAATTTTAACATAGGAAATAACGGCACTGACTTCTAACAATGTATGGATTGTTTAAGGTAAAATAAAGATGTTAGATCTTTTTATATAAATCCACCTTAACATTATCCTAAAATCCACCTACCCCATAATATGGTAGTTTTCAAAGTGCTTTGGTAAAGAAACATTTTAGGTCCAGTATGACATTCCGTATATACATTTAACTCCATTTGAAAGACTACTTAAAATAGTATTTCAGCATTCTGTTCGTTTAGAGCAGTGATTCTCAACGGAAATGTTTTACGCCCCCCCAGAGGACATGTGGTGATATCCAGAGGTATTTCGGCTTTCACAACTGGGGAGGAAGAGGTGCTGCTGGCATCTGGTAGATGAAGACCAGGAATGATCCTTAACATCCTACAGCGCACAGGATAGTCCACCCACCTACCCCCGCCCCCCGCCCAGAAAGGAACTAGCACATTCCAGCGCCAAGGCTGAGAAACCCCCATGTAGAAGAGAGGGGAAGCAGGCTAACAGAAAGCAACACTCCTGAAGTAGATAACGTTCTGTCTGTTTCAGGTGTCCATATCCGCAACTTGCATACTTACAGTGCCGCAGAGCTGAAATGTCGCTACTGTTCTGCTGTCTTCCATGAACGCTATGCCCTCATTCAGCACCAGAAAACTCATAAAAATGAGAAGAGGTTCAAGTGTGAACACTGCAGTTATGCCTGCAAGCAGGTATTGTACTTTACTTAATTTGGAGAGGCGGTGCGTGGAAGAATGGAGAGTTAGGGTGGGATTCTCTACCACTTTGAAAATACTGAGAAGAGTCAGAATAACTAGAAAGCAACTGTGAGCCAGTCATTCGAAACAGCAGTTCTTAAAGTATGTTCACGTACCCCCGGAGGTCCCTGCAATCAAGTGGGGGCCCGTGAGAGCCAAGCCCTTGTTAGGAAAATGGAAAGGTGTCATTTGCCCTTTTGAGACATTGACATTTGTACTTTCGGTGCCAAAGTAGTGGTGGTCCTTAGCCCAGATCAAGGCAGGGACCCCCGGCGGAACAGGTCGTTGCAGTATTCTTCACCCTCACACACTGGCAGCAAAAATAAAGGGCAGTTTTATATGACAGTGTCCTTGAAGAAGCAGCAAAAGTTGTTTACTTTATTCAATCTTGACCTGAAAGACTGTCTTTTAGATATTCTTTGTGATGAGATGAGAAGCTGGCGTATGCACCTCCATCATCTGAAGCCTGAGGGAAGGCACTTGGGGCTTGTTTGAGTTTCCTGCTCAATTAGCCACTTTCTCAGTGAATGTCATTTTCATTGAGAAAGGAACAAGATAAACGAACTTTATTTACTCAGTCATAATTTTGAAAATGAACAACGTAGGCCAGGCACAGTGGCTCAAGCCTGTAATCCCAGCATTTTGAGAGGCCAAGGCTGGTAGATCACGAGGTCAGGAGTTCGAGACCCACCTGGCCAATATGGTGAAACCCCATCTCATTAAAAAATATGAAAATTAGCTGGGTGTGATAGTACACACCTGTAATCCAAGCTACTTGGGAGGCTAAGGCAGGAGAACCGCTTGAACATGGCGGGAGGAGGTTACAGTGAGCCGAGATCACGCCACTGCACTCCAGCCTGTGTGACAGAGTGAGACTCCGTCTCACAAAAAAAGAAAAAAGAGAAAAAAAGAAAAAAAAGGAAATGAAGAACCTGAGCCTGTTCTTGCAAGGGAAACACATATGACCAATGATGCAATTTCACTTTTCAAGAGAAAAATCAGAATTCAAATTTTGGAAAATGTATATTCACCATTACAAGCTTTACAGCTTTCTAATACTTAAGATTTTTCTGATAAGATTGAAGTGATTTTCAAAAACAATTTTTTTATATTGTGTAATGGAATATGTCAGCATTTAGAAGATCTGTATAACTCAGTAAACCAGTATTTAAAATGACCAGTCCATGATGTTACAGACTCATGCACAGGTAAAAGATCCATTCAAAGTAAAAGATAAACCAAGAGATTTTAACGTCATAGAGGAAAACAAGTTTATTGACAGGGTTTCAGATTCCACATTGCAACCCATGGTTAAGAAATTACCATGACCAGACATACTGGCTCACACCTATGGTCCCAACACTTTGGGAGATCGAGAAGGACAGATCTCTTGAGTTCAGGAGTTCAAGACCAACCTGGGCAACATAATGAGACCCCGTCGCTACAAAAAAAAAAAAAAAAATAGCTGGGTTGATGGTGCCTATCTGTTTAGTCGTACCAGCTACTCAGGAGGCTGAGGTTGGAGGATCACTTAAGCCCAGGAGGTTGAGGCTGCAATAAGCTGTGTTCCTACCACTGCACCCCAGCCTGGGCAACTGAATGAGACTCTAAAAAAAGAAATTACTACTAACTGAGTTTTGGTATAATCATGGGGAAAGAATGGCCACAGTTATTTGGAAGAGCTAGTAAAATGTTGCTCTCTTTTCAAACGTGTCTATGAGAGATTTTCTTTATCACTTAACATACTCAGTGGACTGAGGGAAGAGCAGAGATAGGAATCTATCTGAATGCTTTGAATGGAGTTGTCAGATTTAGCAAATAAAAATACGCTACACCTAGTGACATTTGAATTTCAGACAATGAATAGGTTTTTTTTTTTTAATTCTTTTTTTTTTTTTTTTTTAAGACGGGGTTTCACCATGTTGGTAAGGCTGGTCTTGAACTCCCAACCTCAGGTGATCTGCCCACCTTGGCCTCCAAAGTGCTTGGATTACAGGCATGAGCCACCACTCCCGGCCATAAATAGTTTTATATACAAGTATGTTGCAGCCTATATTGTAACTGGCAAACTTATCTATTAAGACAAACATTGGGTTAGTTTTGTTTTGAAAAATAGATAATTTTACAGAAATAATATGTAGCTGGTTTGTTGTTATTTTTAAATGAGTTGATAAACTTTTATTTTTTAAATCCTTTAGAATTCCTCAGTTTTGCTAAGAAAGTAAGTACTAATACCTGCCATCTGCATAAATAAAAGCTCTTCAGAGGCCACAGTAATTTTTTAAAGTATAAAAGGTCCTAAGACTCAAAGTTTGAAAACTAAATCACTACTTGGAAGCACTGCAGGCTCTTGGTTACCAAAGGTGAAAATCAGTGCTTACTGTGTTTTGCAAATGTGGGCTGTAAACTGTAAATGCTTTGAATAAAGGAAAAAGAGTTTTTCTGGTAGATTTTGAACAAAGAATGTTCTGAGGTCCCAGGCTCAGATTTGTTCAAATGAAGTAGGAGGGCTTCCTGAAAGAAGGATAAGACTTAAAGAGGACAAGGGGCCTGGAGCAGGCATACAGCCGGTGTGTGGGAGCAGAGAGCAGGCAGCCATGCTGTGGCCGCAGGCGGAGGCTCAGAGCACTGCTGGGCACTCCTGGCTGCTGCCGCCCTGAAGAGCCAGGCTCCCAGCAGGCAGACCAGAGATTCTGTCCCAAAGGAGGGTGATGAGATGAAAGCTGTGTGTGGAAGAGAGTGTTCAGTGAATTGGTTGAAAGAAAAATTAGAAGACCGTCAATTAGGTTATTGACAGTAATGCAGAATAGACCAAATATACATTTAATCCAAATAATCATCACATTTTAAATAAAACAAAATGGGTACTTTTGCCTAACTTCATATGTATTTTTGTCCTGATTTCCCAAATTATTTTCTCCTGTCTAAGCTGAAATCTCTATTTAGGCCAGTTACAGTGGCTCACACCCAAATCCCAGCACTTTGGGAGGCCAAGGCAAGAGAATTGCTTAAGGCTAGGAGTTTGAGACCAACCTGGGCAACATAGTGAGAACCTGTCTCTACAAAAAATAAAAACTGAGCTGAGCATAGTGGCACACACCCACAGTCCCAGCTACTCAGGCAGCTGAGGTGGGAGGATCACTTTGGCTCTCGAGTTTGAGATTGCAGGGAGCTGATTGTGCCACTATGCTCCAGCCTGGGTGACAGAGCAATATCCTGTCTCAGAAAAAAAAAAAAAAAAATTGGTGCTAAGATCTGTTATGATACTATTGGGAGGTAAATGGAAAAATATTTAGATACTTAACATACTTGCAACCCCAAATGCCCACTGAATTTAAACTCTGACATTTGATTTTTAAGTTTGCAGGTTCTGTTTGCCTTTTGTAAACCCAGGTAATTGCAAATAATTGTACAGAGGGACGACTCCCAGTACATGAGGGGACAAGGAGCCATCCTTGCACGCCCTGAGGTGTGTACTCCCACATCTCCAGTTGGATGGGAGAGCCGGCAAGGAATTCGCTGCAAGACCTTTATCACTTGCTGGCACTGCAGACAAGTGTGTTTCCCAGACGGCACATCGTCCCGAGTGAATGCCGCCCTGTTGAGAATGTGTTTGCAGTAACTCTGCTTACTAATGGACTCACCTTTGGGGAGGGAAATAAAAGGTACTGTACAATAAATAACGTCTAACGTGGAAAAAGACACTTTGAACTAGACAAGCTGCTTTCTTCCCCTTCCCTCTTAGGCACGTCATATGACTGCTCACATTCGTATCCACACTGGAGAGAAACCATTCACCTGCCTTTCCTGCAATAAGTGTTTCCGACAGAAGCAACTTCTAAAGGTTCACTTCAGGAAATATCACGATGCCAGTTTCATCCCAGCTGTTTACAAATGCCCCAAGTGTGACAAAGGCTTCTCCCGCTGGGTAAGCTTATTTAAGTCACCATAAATCCCCTGTGGAAAGATCTCTCTATCTTAGGAGGACAGTGTCAGACCAGGAGAGTTTAAACCTGGTTATAGAAACCTGCCAGGACTTCAGGAACGTCTGTCATGCCTTAGGAAGGTGGTTATTAGTTTTTTAAAATCACAGAATTCTTGAAGAATCCTATGAAAGTGTGGTCTCTTCATCCCCTAAAACAAAAGGACAATCCAACAAACAAAATCTTACAAATAGTTTTAGAGAGTTATCAGACTCCCCAGAGAGCCCCAGCTTTTAGAGTAGTATTTTCAAATTGTTCCAGTGAACTAGATTTAGGCTACTTGACAGAGAGAATGCAGTTTTCACGCATTTCTCAGATGTCCCTAGAATAATGTTACTGGTATCTATAATCCCAGCTATTGGGAGGCCAAGGTGGGAGGATCACTTGAGGCCAGGAGTTTGAGATCAGCCTGAGCAACATAAGGAGACGCCCCTTCCCTCCAAAAAAATTAGCTGGGTGTAGTGGTCTATCCCTGTAGGCCTAGCTGCTGAGGAGGCTGAGATGGGAGAACCACTTGAGCCCAGGAGTTGGAGGCTGCAGTGAGTCACGAAAGCACCACACCACTCTGTCCTCGAAGACAGAGTGAGATCCTGTCTTTAAAATAACTTTTTAAATTAAAAAAGAAAGAATAGTGCTGTTGGTACTGGGCTAAGCAATACATTTATGGTGTTATTCTTTTAGGTGTTGTATTAGTTATCTATTTCTGCATGACAGATTACCTCAAAATGGAGTGGCTTAAAACCACAAACATTTGTCATCTGATAGTTTCTGTGGGTTGGGAACTTGGGAGCGGCCTAACTGCGTGGTCCTGGCTCAGGGTCACTCCTGAGGTTGCAGTCAGGGTGTCCGCTAGGCTGCATCATCCGAAGGCTGGACTGAGGCCAGAGGCTCTGCTTCCAGCATAGCTTTACCTACCACAAGCTGCTGGCCCAGGCCTCTCAGTTTCTTGCCACAGGGACTTCTCTGCAGGGCTGCTTGAGTGTCCTCCTGACTCAGAGCAAGTGAGAGAGTGCAAGCAGGAAGCCACGGTGCCTTTTGCAATCTAGTCTTTTAAATGGCACGACAGCCACGTATAGGGGCTCACACCTGTAATTGCAATACTTTGAGAGGCCAAGGCAGGCAGATAATTTGAGGCCAGGAGATTGAGACCAGCCAGGACAACATGGTGAAAAACCCTGTCTCTACTAAAAAAAAAAAAAAAAAAAAAAAAAAAAAAAAAAAAAAAAAATTAGCCAGGCGTCGTGGTACATGCTTGTCATCTCAGCTGCTTGGGAGGTTGAGACAGGAGGATCACTTGAACTTAGGAGATGGAGGTTGCAGTGAGCTGAGATGGCACCAGAGGCCTCCAGCCTGGGTGACAGAGCAAGACTCTGTCTCAAAAACAAAAAAGGTGGCACATTACTTCTAGTCACAAGCAATGAATCCTGGAGTCCCACCCCCACTCACGGAGTAGGGAATGAAGTTTCTTTAGAAATGAAAAGCATCAAAGAATTTCAGGACATTTGAAAACCACTGCACATGGCTGGCTAGACCCCTGGACCTTGCAGGCTTCAGTCCAACTTTATAAAAGTTTTATAAAAGTTGAATTTTCTGAAGTTGACCATTTTTTAAAAAATCTTTCTTCTTAAAAGAAAACAGTAGTGTAGTTGTGTTTTTCTGAGTGGCACAGTGGGATAGTTCTGAAATGTCAACCCTATTAGTTTACAATTTCAAATAAAAGCAGTGGCAGTGCTCCCAAAACAGGGTCGCTCATGCTAAAATTGTAAAGAGTTAAAATTAGCGAGTAGAATTATAAAGAGAAGAAACTGCCCTTTGGTGCAAGAAATAAGAATGCAGAGAAAAGAGCAAGTCTGCTTCATGCTGTCCCTCAGAACATAAAATCAGAAGTTTCGAAACTCCTATTCAAGAAAGCATATTTGGACTTATATCTAGAATATAAAAAGAAGTCTCGTAACTCAGCAAATAGACAGATACCCAATGAAAAACAGGTAAAGTGTCTAAATAGACCTTTCTCCAAAGAAGACATAGAGCTGGCCAATAAGCACAGCGTCATCAATCACCAGGGCAACGCACATCAGTTTCTGCCATGACTTCTTGAGTCTGCTCTTGTATCACAGAAGCAGCTGCGGGTGCAGTTTGTAAATGAATAGACCTGGCTGTGTCCCAGTAAAACTTGCTTTCTTTCAGAAACAGTTGGCAGCCAGATTTGACACACTGGTCATCATTTGCCAACCCCAGTGTCTAAGCATAAAATGGAAGAAGTTTAAACAGCCTGTTACATCGCCCCCACTTACGCATAAATTCTTCCTCCTTCCATCACAAACGCAGACCATCCTGTTAAGCACAGTGGGAAAGTCAAAATGGGCACCAGGCAAGATGTTTTGTATGATTTCAAATTTAAACACCCATTACCAGTTTTTTACTTTTGCCTGGGACCCTTTCAAAAAGTGAAAATTTTCTAACTTAAATTATCCTAAGTGTTCATTAGATGAGATGGTATCACGAATAGGCTTGACTAGGAAGTGTTTGACTTTTATTCCTGAATGTTGTGTACAATTTCATAACTGCCACCCATGACCTCTGCCCAGTAGCTTTGAGAGAGAAGCTAACAGAATAGTAAAATCTTTATGGTATGTGGTTGATGGTGATAAAATTGACTGATGTATTGAATTTTTGGTTCAACATCAGTCTTCGCTTTCAAGAGTAGAAGCATTCTAGAAAAATAAATTTTGTCTTCTCATTGATTTCTATTATTTAAAAAATGCTTAAAGCAAGCTAGCATTTGACTAGACCTAAACACAACAGAAAGGGCCACCTTTAACAGTCATCATTTTTGTACAAGATTATCAAAGGTCCATGCTACCCACCATTTTCCCAAAGCCTGTCTCTTTGTGCATTTTTCAGTGAATTTGGTGAAGCCAACTCTTGTCGTAGAACCAAACTGGGATGTGCTTGCCTGGTGCAGTAAGACCAGATATCCACATGGCAGTTTGCAGCAGAAGAAAGGAAGGTGTTTATTTGCAGGGTGCCAAGCAGACAGAAACTACAGACAAAATCATAAATCAGTGCATGCAGGATCCATTGCCCTGAAAGGGTCAGATACCTTGCAGCAGGGGCTTACAGGTTGTAGGTAGATTCAGAGACTCTGGTTTGCAATTGGTTAAGGAAGAGAAGTTTTGTTTAAAATTTTGGGGTCAACAGAAAAGAATGTTAGCTCTGGTTCATGGGCATGACCTGTCCCTCCAGGCCTCTTAGGAGGAAATTAAGAACAAAATTAGAACAGATTTAGCAGTGGCCAAATGTCAGCCCCCAGTTCCCCCGTATCTTAGGTCTACCTGCCAGGGGATCTGTTTGGTAAAGATCCAGGTTTCTAAAAAACAACTCAGGGACAGATGTTGAGATACTGTCTTGGCCCGTGCAGTGGCTCACACTTGTAATCCCAGGACTTTCGGACGCCAAGGCAGGTGGATCACTTGAGGTCAGGAGTTTGAGTCTAGCCTGGCCAACATAGTGAAACCCTGTCTCTATTAAAAATACAAAAATTAGTGTGTGGTGGCATTTTACCTGTACTCCCAGCTACTTGGAAGGCTGAGGCAAGAGAATTGCTTGAACCCAGGACATAGCGGTCGCAGTGAGCCAAGATCCTGCCACCACATTCCAGCCTGGGGGACAGAGCAAGACTCCATCTCAAAAAGAGGCTGTTACCTTAGGTTTCTGCAAGGGCACCAAACACCCGGAGTTGAGCTTCCTTGGCTATTGTTTTTGCTTCCTATTACCTTTTCCTTTTTTTTCCGGCAACCTTGACCTCCCGGGCTGAAGCGATCCTCCCACCTCAGCCTCATGAGTAGCTGGGATCTCAGGGTACCTGCCACCACAGCTGGCTAATTTTTTTTTATGTTCTATCTTTTGTAGAGATGGGGTCTCACTGTATTGCCCAGGTTGGTCTCAAACTCCTGGGCTCAAGCAGCCCTCCCTCCTTGGCCTCCTAAAGCACTAGGATCACACATGTGAGTCACCATGCCCAGCCTCCTTCTTGCTAATCAGGTTTCTCATTCACTCCTTAGGGCTAGCAAAGTACCTGGAGTTTCCTTCAAAAGAACTCAGGATTCTCCTTTATTTCCATGTTTGGGGGTCCCCCTCAGGGGTCCCTGCTCCCTCTCACTCGCCTTGTGTGTTCTGTGTCAATTCCCCGGCAGAGTAACATGCATAGACACTCGGAGAAGTGTGGCTCAGGGCAAGCGAAGGCAGCCACTTCAGGAAAAGGAAGAACAGGAAAGAGGAAGCAGACTGTCCCGAAGGAGGCCACGAGGAGAGACGGTACTGATTTTACGCGGATTTTTTTTTAATACGACAGTGATTTTCTGGTTGTAATTGTCCTGGGTGCCGAGTGTTACTGTGCAGGGGACGTGTCCAGAGCCCATGTTTGTCTACCAGTTGGTCCTACCAGATCACTTGTGCCAGGCCTCTCAGAATGGCAGTGAGCATAGCGTGAGAAAGTCAGTGTGAGAGCCCCACGCAGGTCCACGTGCAACCCCCACCGCCAGGAGCCCTCTTCCATCACATTGGACTGTCGCCTTCAGCTATGGGGACTGTCCTGGGCTGTTGCAGTAGATGACCACAAGCTGGGTGACTTGATACGACAGAAATTGATTTTCAGATAGCTCTAGAGGCCAGAAATCCTCAATCCAGATGTGGGCAGGGCCGCCCTCCCTCTGGGGACCTAAGGGAGGGTCCTTCCTGTCCTCTTGCAGCTCTGGTGGCTCCGGCGTTCCTCAGTTTATGGCCACATCCTCCAGTCTGTGCCTTCGTCTTTTTGTAGCTCTCTCCTCTCTTCTATGTCTGGGCCTTCTCTTCTGCCTCTTACAAAGACATTTGTCACTTAGGATTTAGGAATTTAGGACTTCTTTTGAAAAAAGGAGGTCAGCTATGGGGCTTAGGATATGTATATATCCTGTTGGGGACCACCATCCAGCCCACACAGCCATCACAGTCTTCCCCCTCTGGCCTCAGGAAGCTGAAGTGAGTTTCCAGGTTGGTGCGAAGCTGGGCCCTGTCCTGTGTGTCCTGTGCATGGCTCCGCTGTAAGAGGGGCAGACCCGACGCCTGCACAGGTGAACACCTGCTCTCTAGCTTCTCCACTCCTTTCCTGTGAGGACTTCAGAACCCGAGATGATTGGAGACCGTCCAACCTCACGGCACAAGCACGTCCCCCACGTTCTGATTCCAGCCTCAGTTCTTGCCTTGAGAATTTACCACACGTGATAACTGCCCTCCACCTGCCTTCCCTCAAAAGTTGCCAGATCAGATAGAGGATGCCCGGCTCAATCTGAATTTCAGATAAACAGTGAATCATTGTTTAAATGTGTCCCACACATTATTTGGGATATACATTTACTAAAAAAAATGTCCATCATGTATCTGAAACTCAAGTAGAAGCAGGCATCCTGCAGTCCTTCCTGCTGCCTCTGTGGGGAGTCAGTTCTGGGTCCCTGGTTCCAGCCGCTCTGTCCCCAGGCCACACTTGCCCAATCTTTCTGTGTGTCTCACCATCTGGCGAATCCCTAAGCCTCAGTGTGCCCCAGGCCTGCCTTTCCCATGCCCGCGTCACACAGCCAAGCCCTGTCTGGCAGGGCAGTGGCGAGGCTGAGGGGTCCCAGGCAGTGCCCCATTGCTCAGCTCAGCTGGAACTCTCCAGAATCAGCACCCTCCTTTCTCCTCCAGGGCTCAGCAGTTATCACTGACAGTGTATGTGAGTCCCTTCTTATCCTGACCACAGTCCTCTGCAGGGGGCACTATCATCTGTCTGGCAGAGAGAGAGCTGTACCTCAGGGTGGGGACGAGCCTGCCCGGGCACGCAGGTCCTGGAGGGTGAGGCTGTGACCAGACCCCAGAGACCTCATTCTGGACTTCAGCATCAAAAATTTTCTACTGATTTCCAATGAGCTCCTTCATCCCTAACTCCCAGCCCCTGCCTCCCTCCCTCTGGGTGGAGGCCTCGCTGACTCTCACCAGCAGATGGGCTCTGCTGCCCGCTGCCCCTGGCACTCCTGTTTCCTCTCACTCCCAGCCTGAGTTCCCGCTATCCTCTGCCAGCTCCTGGGGCTTCTTCATCCGGCCCCACAGGCACAGGGCTGTCCACCGGGCTCATAGGGTCACATCAGAAGAAAAATCAGTGTCACACTGATGGGTATCAAGTAATGGATGCAGCCTGGATTTCATTTGTCTTTATACCAATGATGTAAAATAGCAATTTTCATATTTTTTAATGGAGGAAGGGGCTGCAGGAGCCACCCCTCCCATCTGAGGCCACTTCTGCCTCTGAGTCTGGAACCCACCCCCCAGATCGGCAGCTTTATGACCCCCATTCACCCTCCTTGGCCAACTCATCCCTCCTGGCCTGCCCTTTCCCATCAGCCTTAAACATGCTCCATGTCTTCAGAAAAATAAAAACACTGGGTGCGACCGCCCACCTGGTCCCCTGCTGCCCCTCCTGTGCACTTCACACTTATTTGGTTATTTAATAAGCACCAGACTTCCACCTGCAGCCCACTGCAGGCTCCTCCCAGGTGGGCCTGGCCCACTCCGTCTGTCCCCAGCTCCTGGTGCCAGGCCTGGCCTTAGCAGCGCTCGTGAAGCCACCACTTACTGAATAAACAAGTGAATAATACCCACAGTCCTTTATTGGGGAAGACAGACTGGTGAAATGTGACTCACAGTTGGTCCGCTCGAACTGTGGAGATCCGAGGCCAGGTTACTGGCTGCCCGCGCCCTAAGTTAGGTCAGATCCTAAAAGGTCCATGGGAAATGTGACTTCTGCACTCATTCGACACCTAAAGCCACCTCTGCAGTTCTCCCCATCTTCACACCTCAGTGTAGTGGGTTTTTTTAAATTATCTCTTAAATGAAACCTCTAGAAGACCAAATGATTTGGGGTGAATTTTGAAAATGTCACCCTCAGTCGGTGACATTTTTGCTGTGGAGAAGAGTTGAGAAGGCTCTCGTAGGCTTAAAGACTGCTGATAGGAATGGTGTCGTTCAGTATGCAGACCTTTTTCATATGTTTTACGGTCAGCAGTGATATCCAAAGCAAGTATGAATTAAGGCAGATAACCTGGCAAAAACTATGAGACTGAATTTGCATTTCAGGGTTTTTACAGCCTGTGTTATCCAGGTAATTGTGCAGCACCTTTCCAGTTCATGGATGGGTCTCGACATGTTACTGATGGCACGTGTGTGTGTGTGTATGTGTGTGTGTGTGTATGTGTGTGTGCGCGTGTGTGTGCATGTGTGTGTATGTGTGTGTGCATGTGTGTGTGTGTATATGTGTATGTGTGCGCGTGTGTGTGTGTGCGTGTGTGTGTATGTGTGTGTGTTCGCATGTGTGCATGTGTGTATGTGTGTGCATGTGTGTGTGCGTGTGTGTGTATGTGTATGTGTGCGTGTGTGTGTCTATGTGTGTGTATGTGCGTGTGCGTGTGTGTGTGTGCGCGTGTGTGTTTTAGACAGTTTCACTTTGTAGCTCAGGTGTGATCTTGGCCCACTGCAACCTCTGCCTCCTGGGTTCAGGTGATTCTCATGCCTCAGTCTTCCAGGGAGCTGGGATTACAGGTGCCTGCCACCACGCCTGGCTAATTTTTGTATTTTTTTTAGTGGAGATGGGGTTTGACCATGTTGCACAGGCTGGTCTCAAACTCCTGACCTCAAGTGCTCTGCCCACCTCAACCTCCCAGCGATGGGATTACAGGTGTGAGCCACTGTGCTTGGCCTGATGGCCTGTTTTGTGGATCTCAGTGTTTCTTTTCATATCTAAGCACTGGGTCTTCTTGTCCCCTGCCATCCCCCACCCAGAAATACTTCAAGGAAGCACAGGCAAAAATATCTTCAGACAGCTTAAAACTGGCATGAGGCAATAGTGTTCTTCAGTGTGGCACTCTATGGGTGTTTGGGGAAGTAATTTGGAAGATAAATAGAGCAGAGGCTCCCAACCCCCAGGCCATGGACCTGTGGCCTCACAGCAGGAGGTGAGTGGTGGGTGAGCGAGCGAAGCCTCATCTGTATTGACAGCCGCTCCCCATCACTCTCATGACCCCCTGAGCTCCACCTCCTGTCAGATCAGTGGCGGCGTTAGATTCTCATAGGAGTGCACACCCTGTTGTGAACTGCGCATGCGAGGGATCTAGGTGGCACACTCCGTATGAGAATCTAATGCCTGATGATCTGTCACTGTCTCCCATCACCCCCAGAGGGGACTGCCTAGTTGCAGGAAACAAGCTCAGGGCTCCCACTGATTCCACAATATGGTGAGTTATATAATTATTTCATTAATATAATAATAATAGAAATAAAGTGCACAATAAATGTAATGTGTTTGACCCATCCCAAAACCAACCCCCTCAACCAGTCCATGAAAAAACTGTCTTCCATGAAACTGGTCCCTGGTAATGAAAAGGTTGGGGACAGCTGGAGTAGAGGGTTGACTGTGGGTCGGCTCACAGTGGTCTGTTTTACACTCTCCCAGTTGTGCAGACTGGCTCCTGAGCTGCTGGAGGGGGATCAGGTTCTAGGTACACACCTGGAGTTGGCCCCAGCATCCCTAGCAGGATTCGTGACCCAGAATCAGTACTCAGTATATGTTGATTGGCCAAAGGGACCAATGTCCTGTGAGCAGCTGACTGGCTTCATGTAGGCATCGTCACTCCACGGGCACCGGGATGAGACTTAGGTGAACAGCCTAGCCACGATATCAATCTCTATGATCCACCTCGATAGAAATCTCTAAGTTCCTCGTTCACCTACAGCAGCTGTTGCCAGCTGGGAGTGACTGTGCCCCCCTGTCACCTGCAGGGGACACTGGTAATGTCTGGAGACATTTTTATGGTTTCTGCAGCTGGAAAGGCGGGTGCTCCTGGCATCTACCAGTAGAGGCCAGGGTCACTGCCAACATCCTACACTGCCTGGAACAGCACCTCCCCCCAGCAGACAGCTCTCTGGCCCCAAACATCTGTAGCGCTGAGGCAGAGAAACCCTGACTGGAGGCAGTAGTTAGATGAGACTAGTACTGTCATTTCAGTTAGATTGCTTTCTAACGTGCTTGCTGCTGTATTAAAATTTAAGTGATAGTTTCCAAAATATGTTTGCACAGTTGATTAATTCCAGTTCCTTGGCTTTCTGATAAATTTGCTCATCCTGGGCTTTTTCTCAAGAAGCTGCTGCTGAGGAGGCTTCCACCACAAAGCGGGAACAGTTCCCAGGGGAGACGCTGCCTGTCGCCTATGGAGAAGCTACAGCCAGAGTCAAAGAGTACGTGCATGAAGAGACCTGCGAAATGCTCCTCAACGTGATGGATAAGTGAGAGAGATTCAGGCCGCCTGCTCACTGCCCCTAAATCCTGGATAAGTGAGAGAGATTCAGGCTGCCTGCTCACTGCCCCTAAATCCTAAAGCAATTTAGAAATGTTTAGCATTTGCTTTGAAACAATTAAGTTCATGACAATGAATGAATGCAAGTTGGAGGTAATGCCTAGAATTGTTTTTCTGTTTTTAGCTGGATATTTCAAAGAAACATTGCAGGTATTTTATCAAATCTTAAACCTTGAATGAGAGGGTAACACCTCAAACCTATGAATTTATTCCTTGCTATTGGCAAGGTGGTCCACAATGAATGAGTAATGATTTTGGGGTAATAGTCACTTCAAAGTAGTAGTCTAGACCAGCTAGAGCTTCAACAGCCAAAGCTGGACATTTTTATGTTGCACTGTGTACACCCATGATATTTCTAATAGTATGATTGTAAACGTTAAAGACGAATTTTATATTTTTTATACAAATGAATTTTCTACAAATTTAAAGCTACCATAATGCTTTTAATTAGTTATAAATTCAATCAAAAAAAGTGTTTTAGTGTTATAAAAAGGAAAACTGAGTAGGGAATGAAACAACCAGACTAGACTAAAAAATAAGGAATAAATCTATTTTACTTTGGTATCGGTAGCAAAGTTCACCTTTATATTTTTGTAGTCTCTTT